GCTGAGGCTGGGTGAGCTTAGGTGGACTGAGCTGGACTAGGCTGACCTGAGCTGAGCTAGGCTAAGTTGAGCTACACTGGGCTGAGCTGGGCTGGGCTGAGCTAGACTGAGCTGAGCTGGGTTGGGGTGACCTGGGCTGAGCCAGGTTCAGCTGGAAGCAGGCTGAGCTTGGGCTGGGCTGGGCTGAACTGAGGCTAGGCTGAGGCTGGGCTGGGCTGGGCTGGGCTGGGGGTAGGCTGAACTGGGCTGCAGGCTGGGCTGGGCTGGGCTGAGCTAGGCTGGGCTGGGCTGGAGGCTGGGAGTAAGCTGAACTGGGCTGAGCTGGGCTGGGCTGGGGTAGGCTGAGCTGGGCTGAGGCTGGGCTGGGCTGGGGTAGGCTGGGCTGGGCTGAGCTGGGCTGGGCTGGGGTGAGGCTGAGCTGGGCTGGGGTAGGCTGAGCTGGGCTGGGCTGGGCTGGGCTAGGCTGGGCTGGGCTGGGCTGGGCTGGGCTGGGCTGGGCTGGGCTGGCATGAGCTAGGCTGGAGGCTGGGCTGGGCTGGGCTGGACTGGGCTGGGCTGGAGCTAGGCTGAGCTGAGCTAGACTGACCTGGACTGTGCTGAGCTGGGCTGGGCTGGGTTGAGTTGACCCAGGCTGAGCTGAACTGGGTTGGGTTGACCTGGGCTGAGCTGGGTTCAGCTGGGCTAGGCTAAGCTGGGCTGGAGCTGAACTGAGCTGGGTTGCGCTGAGCTGAACTGGGCTATACAGGCTGGGCTGGGCTGAGCTAGATTTAGCAGGCAGGAGTTGGTTTGAGTTGACCTGGGTTGAGCTGGGTTCAGCTGGGCTGAGCTGGGCTGAGCTAGGCTGAGCTAGGCTGAGCTAGACTGAGCTTGGCTGGTTTCAGCTGGGCTGGGCTGAGCTGGGCTGGGCTGAGCTGAGCTAGACTTAAGCAGGCTGGGTTGGTTTGGGTTGACCTGGGTTGAGCTGTGTTCAGCTGGGCTAGGCTAAGCTGAGCTGGGCTGAGCTGGGTTCAGCTGGGCTAGGCTAAGCTGGGCTGGGCCTGAACTGAGCTGGGTTACGCTGAGCCCCCAGACTGGGCTGAGCTGGGCTGGGCTGAGCTAGACTTAGCAGAGCTGGGTTGGTTTGGGTTGACCTGGGTTGAGCTGGGTTCAGCTGGGCTGGGCTGAGCTGGGCTGAGCTAGGCTGAGCTAGGCTGAGCTAGGCTGAGCTAGACTGAGCTTGGCTGGTTTTCAGCTGGGGCTGGGCTGAGCTAGACTTATGAGAGCTGAGTTGGTTTGGGTTGACCTGGGTTGAGCTGTGTTCAGCTGGGCACAGGCTAAGCTGAGCTGGGCTGGGCTGAGCTGGAGCTGGGCTGGGCTGGGCTGGGCTGGGCTGAGCTAGGCTGGTTTCAGCTGGGCTGGAGGGCTGGGCTGCTGGGTGAGCTTAGATTGGACTGAGCTGGGCTGGGCTGGGCTGGGCTGGGCTGGGCCGGGCTGGGCTAGGCTAGGCTGGGCTGGGGTGAGCTGGACTGGGCTGAGCTGGGTGAGCTTAGGTGGACTGAGCTAAGCTGGGCTGAGCTGAGCTGAGCTGAGCTAGGCTGGTTTCAGCTGGGCTGGTCTGGGCTGGGCTGGGCTGAGCTGAGCTGAGCTGAGCTGGGTGAGCTTAGGTGGACTGGGCTGGGCTGGGCTGGGTGGCTGGGCTGGGAGTGAGCTGGACTGGGGCTGAGCTGGGTGAGCTTAGGTGGACTAAGCTGGGCTGGGCTGGGCTGGGCTGGGTGAGCTGGGCTGGGGTGAGCTGGACTGGGCTGAGCTGGGTGAGCTTAGGTGGACTAAGCTAAGCTGGGCTGAGCCCAGGCTGAGGCTGAGCTGGGTGAGCTTGGAGTGGACTGGGCTGGGCTGGGCTGGGCTGGGTGAGCTGGGCTGAGCTGACCTGGACTGGGCTGAGCTGGGCCGACAGGTGGACTGAGCTGGGCTGGGCTGGGCTGGGTGAGCTGGGCTGGGTGAGCTGGACTGGGAGGCAGGCTGGGTGAGCTTAGGTGGACTGAGCTAAGCTAGGCTGAGCTGAGCTGAGCTAGGCTGGTTTGGCTGGGCTGGGCTGGGCTGGGCTGAGCTGGGCTAGCGGAGCTGGACTGGGCTGGGCTGAGCTGGGCTGAGCGGAGCTGGACTGGGCTGGGCTGGGCTGGGCTGCACTGGGCTGGGTGAGCTTCGTGGACTGGGCTGGGCTGAGCTGAGCTGAACTGGACACAGGCTGGGCTGGAGCTGGGCTGGGCACAGGCTGGGCTGGGCCCAGGCTGCACTGAGCTGGGCTGCACTGAGCTGGGTGAGCTTAGGTGAACTGGGCTGGGCTGGGCTGAGCTGAGCTGAGCTGAGCTGAACTGGACTGGGCTGAGCTGGGTGAGCTTAGGTGGACTGAGCTGAGCTGGACTGGGCTGAGCTGGGTGAGCTTAGGTGGACTGAGCTGGGCTGGGTTGGGCTGGGCTGAGCTGGGTTGGGTTGACCTGGAACCAGGCTGGGGTGAGCTAGACTGGGCTGGACTGGGCTGAGCTGAGCTGGGCTGAGCTGAGCTGGGTTGAGCTGAGCTGGGTTTGACTGAGCTTAGCTGAGCTCATGCAGCTGTGTTCTTAGGGGTTCTGAGGGTCATGCAGCTCTGTTGCACCATGATTCTGTCTTTCCTCTTGCCCATTGCCTGAAGGAAATTTGGAATGGGCTCGGCCCAGAGCTCCCAGGTGTAGCAGGCCCCTGCCTGGGAGGCCTGGCAGGGATGTAACCCAGCCTGTTGGCCTCTGGTCCTGAGACATCATAGGCCACAGGGTCCACTGTGGCTTATTTTGGGCCTGAGGTGGGGCTCGTGGGTGGTGGGTGTTGGACTGAGACCTGACTGGGGACAGGAGGTGGGGTCACAGCCAAGCAGATCCCCACCCCATGCACACAGCACTCAGAGCCCAGGCTACCTCTCAGAGCCCCGCCAAGATCCTCTCTGTAGCTGCAGGGGAGAGAGCAAGATATATCCCCCACCCAGAGCAGGAGCTGCAGTCCAGGGGAGCTCAGGACTCAGCCACTCCACAGCAGAGCCCTGTTTAATACAACTTGTGTCTGGGACGGCCTGGGTCAGAGGCCCTATCTGAGGAGCATGTTCAGAAACCGTGTCGCTGGGATCAGACAGCCAGGTCCAAATGCAGGCCTGTGGTGCAGGAGCTGTGTGACCTTGGGGCCGTCATGGGAGCCTCTTTTGTGCCTGGAGTTCCTCCAGTGTAGAGGAGAGGCAGGCACAGCCTATTCTCCTGGGGACATGGCATGAGACGCGTCCTCACAGCGCATTCTGTGTTCCAGCATCCCCGACCAGCCCCAAAGGTCTTCGCGCTGACCTCGAGGGCACCCAGTCAGATGGGAATGTGGTAAATGCACCTGCCTGGTCCAGGCTTCTTCCCCAGGAGCCACTCAGCGTGACCTGGGCAAAGCGGAGAGGTCATAAACTTCCCGCCCAGCCAGGCCGCCTCCGGGGCCTGTACCTGAACGTGGCCATTGCGGCCGCACAGTGCCCAGCCAGCGAGTCCGTGACATGCCGCGTGGGAGCACACACAAATCCCAGCAGCCCAGGATGTAGCTGTGCCCTGGATTAGAGGGCAGGTTGGGGAGTGAGGCGACCATCCCAGCCTGCCCTGACCTGCGCCTGGACCCGTGTTCCCCAGGGAACGCCCCTTCAGTCACACCAGAGTGGACTGCGGGCCGAGCCCAGGAGGTGGTGTTAGACAGGCCAGGAGGGTGAGGCGGGAGCACGGGGAAGAGGCGTGCTGACCAGCTCAGGCCATCTCTCACTGCAGTTCCTCACCCCCAGGCTGCTTCTGTGATGAACCCACGACTGTCGCTGCGCCGGCCAGCCCTCGAGACCCTGCTCTAGGTTCAAGCGAACCTCACGTGCACACTGACCGGCCTGAGAGATCCTGGTGCCACCTTCACCTGGGCGCCCTCAGAGTGGGAAGAACGCTGTCCAGCAGTCACACCAGGCATGACCCTGTGGCTGCCACAGTGTGTCCAGTGTCCTGCCTGGCTGTGCCAACCATGGAAGTTCAATGGGGTGACCTTCACCTGCACTGCTAATCATCCTGAGTTGGAGACCCAGCTAACTGCCACCATCACAAAATCCGGTGGGTCAGACCTGGCAGGGCTCTGGTTTGCAAAGCATATTCGGCCTGCCTCCTCCCTCCCAGTCATGGGCGTGGGTGCTCATGCCAAGTGCAGAGGAAACTGAGGCAGGCTGAGGCAAGTTACAGTCGAGTGCCCACCAGAGCAGTAGAAGCTCTCTCATCCCTGCCCAGCCCCTGACCTGGCTCTCTACCTCAGAAACACATTCCGGCCCGAGTCCACCTGCTGCCGCCGCCGTCGGGAGGAGCTGGCCTGAGCGAGCTGGTGGCTGGCGTGATGCCTGGCACGCGCGGCCCAGCCCGAGGACGTGCTGGTTCGCTGGCCACAGAGGAACAGGCAGCTGCCCGTGACAAGTACCACGGCTTAGGAATCCCGGAAGGAGCCCAGCCAGGGCCCCACCACCTTCGCCGTGACCAGCATACTGCGCGTGGCAGCCGAGACTGGAAGAGGGGACACCTTCTCCTGCATGGTGGGCCACGAGGCCCTGCCGCTGGCCTTCACACAGAAGACCATCGACCGCCTGGCGGGTAAACCCCACCCACGTCAATGTGTCTGGTCATGGCGGAAGTGGGCGGCACCTGCTGCTGAGCCGCCCGCCTGTCCCCACCCATGAATAAACTCCATGCTCCCAAGCAGCCCCACCCTTCCATCCGGGCGCTCTGTCCATCCTCAGAGTCTCAGCACGTGGGGAAAGGGCAGGGCACGGAGAGGGAAGAACACCCTGCCTGAGCCTCGGGGGCCTAGCACCCCCATGAGCCTTTCCACCCTGGTGTGAGTGTGAGTTGTGAGTGTGAGAGTGTGTGGTGCAGGAGGCCTCGCTGGTGTGAAATCTTAGGTCTGCCGAGGCAGGGCACTGGCCAGGAGTGAGTTCTGAGAGGCACATGCCGGAGATTCTGAGTGGGCAGTGGCATGGCCGTTTGTCCTGAGAGCTGCCTCTGGCTGCAGCTGGGAGGAATAGAGAGTGTGAGAGGAGCAGGCTGGCCGAAGAGGCAGGTAGTGGGAGGAGCAGCGAGGTGAGGCTGGACTCCAGGGCCCCCTGGGAGGACAAGCTCCAGGAGGAGCCCCACCACCTAGTAGGTGGGTCTCAGGATGTCCCCCACTGACACATACAGAGAAAGGCACCTCCCTTAACCACACTGCTCTGTCACGGGGCACAGACACACGTGCACACTCACACCCACATATGCGCCTGAGCCTGCAGGAGGCAGAACGTTCACAGCCCAGACCCAGCTCCAGAAAAGCCAGGAGAGTCCCCTCCCAGGCCCCCAGCCCCAGGCATTCCCAGGCTCAGCCTGCTGCTGACCTCTGGCCTCCTGTGTTTCCACACTGGCTGCAGCTCAGGGACCAACTCCACAGACCCCTCCCAGGCAGCCCCTGCTCCCTGCCTGGCCAAGTCTCACATCCCTTCCCTAAGCCAACTAGGACCCAAGCATAGACTGGGAGGGCCGCGTGGGGATAGCATCAGAAGCAGGCCAGTGAAGCAGGGCCTGCCCAGGGCCCCCTCTGCATGCCTCTGGCTTCTGCTTGGGAACTTCCCAGGAAGAGAACTGTGCCACAACCACTGTGGGGACACCTGGCACCAGGACTCCCACAAGGGGGCAGTGGGGCCCCTGCTCTTGCCTTAGACATCTTCCGGGCCTCCCCAGGCACCCCCGCCTTCTGGCTGCCTCTCTCTGCTCAGGGCCAAGGTGAGGTGGAGTTACTGTATCACCCTTGAGGGTCCAGTCACCAGAGGTGAGAGCAACAGAGTCACCCAAGGAAGCCCTGCCACAGAGAAGCCTTCCCAGTCCATAGGACCCAGGACCTGGCCCAGAGGAGGGAGCTTTTAAAGAGACGAGGAAAGAGGGAGAATCAATAGATGAGGGGCTGAACCAGCAGACAGAGATCAGGCAGACACATGGGTAGATCCTAGGACATATAGTGAATGAATGGGCGGATGGGGATTGGTAGATGGAGGATGGATGGGTGGTAAAATGGATGGGTGGGTAAATGGCTGGATGGAGGGTGGATGGATGGATATATGATGGATGGATAGATGAAGGATAGGTGGACGGGTGGATGGAGAATGGATGAGTGGATGAATGAAGGATGGAAGATGAATGGATGCATGGATGGATGGATGGATGGATGGATGGATGGATGGATGGATGGATGGATGGATGATGGATGGGTGGGCAGATGGAGAATGGATGGGTGGATGGAGGATGGAAGATAAATGGAGGGGGGTGAATGGAGGAGGATGGGTGGATGGATGGAGGATTGAGGGGATAGATGGGTAGGTGGGTAGATCTATGGAGGATAGGTGGATGGAAGATAAATGGATGGAGAATTGCTTTATGGATGGATGAGTGAATGGATGGAAAATAGCTTTATAGATGGATGAGTGGATGGATGGATGGATAGATGGAAGAAGCATGAATGGATGGAAAATAGCTTTATATAGATATATGGTGGATATTTAAATGATAGCCTTATATTAATAGATGAATGGAGGATGAATGGATGGGTGAGTGGGTAAGAGTGTTATCGATGGAGGGGTGGATATACAGATAATAGCTTTGTAGATGGATGGATGGATAGATGGACGGAAGGATAGAAGATAGGTGAATGACTGGATGTATCAGCATGCTGACAAGCAGGTACAGCGAGAGGTCTATGCCCTGAGACCCTGAGGAAAATAAGAATGCCCGTGCTGGTAGCCCTCCCCTGGCCCTCCCTTGTAACCCCTCAGCCACATTCCCTGGGAAGGCAACAGAGGCCCTCTGGTCTTGCCCATTCAATTTTTAGCACACTGAATGTCAGACCCAGGTCTGTCTTGGACAGATATCCCTGAGGGGTGGGTGTATCTGGTCCTCTCTGGCCCCAGGACCCAGTCACTGAATACATGGCTGGGACTGAGATGGGGTGGGGGTGGGGGGTGGGGGGTGGGGGGTGGGAGGTACCTTGGGCTCAAACTACCCGCCCAGGAGAAGCAGATGGTGTCACTTTCTGCCCTGCTGAGTCTCTCCTGAAGTGCCTAAGAACCTCAAAGACAGAAAGTCCCAGCCCCTCACCTGGGACCCTGCCTCCTCATCCTCCCTGGGGGAGTCTCAGGCCTTAGATGGGGACCCAGACCCCACTGTCCCCAGACCCCAAGGAAGCATACCACTATTCACATGAGTCACCAGGCCTGGAAGGCTCTTGCTGTGTGCAGATTGGCAGATGGTGCCTCCCCTGTGGTGCTGGGCTTGCACCGCAGGGAGGCCCTGGAGGAGACCCCTGAGAATTGCCAACCTGCCCAGCCCCACCACCATCACCTTCCCTCACCCTCTTCCTGCTGAGCCTGTTCTACAGCGCACAGCGCTGGCCGTGACCAGCGTCCGAGTGCATCTGGCAACAGAGAGGAGCCCCCAGTGCTGGCCGTTGGACTGGGGCGAGCTGGGCTGGGCTGGGCTGGGCTGGGCTAGGCTAGGCTAGGCTAAGCTAACCTAACCTGGGTTCAGCTGGCCTAGGTTGGGCTGGGCTAAACTGAGTTCGGCTGAGATGTGCTAATATGGGCTGGGCTGGGTCAGGTTGAGGTTAACTTAACTGGGCTGACCTGAGCTGGGTTCAGCTGAGTTCACATGGACTGGGCTGGCCTGGCCTAAATAGGGTTTGTCTGGGCCAGGCCAACTGGGCTGAGGTGGATGGAGCTGGGCTGAGCTGGACAGACCTGAGCCAAGCTTAGCTGGTTGGGCTGACTAAGCTGGGTTGAGCTAAATTGGGTTGAGCTGGGGAGGGCTAGGCTGGGTGAGTGACCTGAGATGAACAGGGCAGGAGAAGCTGGAGTGAGTTGGGCTTAGATTATTGAACTGAATTGGGCTGGGGTGATCTAAACTGGGTTCTGCTGGGATAAGCTGATCTTGGCTGGGCTGAACTGAGCAGAGCTGAACCTAGGTGGGCTGGGCTGAACTGGGCTGCTGGGCTGGACTGGGTAAGCTGGGCTGAGCTGAGCTAGGCTAAGCTGAGTTGGGATGGGCTAGGCTGGGCCAAACTGGGTTCAGCTGAGATGGGCTAATATGAGCTGGGCTGGGCCAGGCTGAGCTCAACTAAACTGGGCTGTGCTGGACTGGGCTGAGCTGGACAGAACTGTATTCAGCTGGCCTGGCCTGGGCTAAATGGAGTTCGGCTGAGCTGAGTAGGATTAGTTGAGCTGGTCATAACTGGATTTAACTAGCTAGGCTAGACTTAGCTGACTAAGCTGATCTGGACTGTATTCATCTGTGTGAAGCTGGGGTGAGGTGGCTATTTTAAGTTCAGCTTTGCTGAGCTAAACTGGACTGGGCTAAATTGAGCTGGACTGACCATTCTCACCTGGCTGACTAAGAGGCGCTGAGACAGAAGCAAGCTGGTTGAGCTGGCTGGACTGAAATAAGAGTTTGCTGCCTGCAAGGGGAGGTCCTGGGCTGACCTGGGCCAGGCTGAGCCAGGTTGGTCTAGAGTGCACTCCAGAGGGTGACTCCTGCAGTGGGCCAGTCTCAGCTGAACTTGGCTGTCCCGGTGGGCAGAGTGGGACTGGATACTGTGATTTTCGGGGTGCCTAGAGCAGACTTCAAGACCAAGCTAAACTGGGCTCCAGGGGCAGGATGGGCTGGCGACCTGGGGCTCTGGGCCAGGGGCGAAGGGCCACGCTGTGCAGACCACAATGTCTGGGCCAGGGTTCTGTTGTGGGAGGGACTGCCCGCCCTCCCCTAGAGGTCAGGGGTAGGCAGAGCACCAGGGGCGTCTGGCAGGTCAGGGGAGGGCTGCTGTGATGGGGAGATGGGGGCTCGGCACTCGAGAGCCCGAGGAGCTGAGACCACAGCCTCGGGGGATGGGAGTCGGGGTTGGAGGGCAGGCAGACCATCCACCATGAGCCCAGAGAGAGTGTGAAGGGGGAGGGCTCTGGTGTTCCACGTCCCATGGGGTCCCCGGGCTTCAGCCTAGGGGCATGGCCCAGTGCCTCTGCTTCTGAGTGCCCACGCTGCAGCGGCCTTGATGGGGACGCTGGGGTCATCCTGGAGGCACCCCCTTCCTGAGCCCATCCTGAGGATAGTGGCTGAGCAACAGCTTCTGGTGGGGGAACGGCGGCCCTGGGAGGTGCCCTGGGTCGGGGGCTTGTGGGGATAAAGGTCCAGAATGAGCCTGGGCTGCCACGGGGTCCCTAGCTCCTCCATCCAGACCCCCAGGCCTGATGGGCCCTGGCCCGAGGCTGGCACTGACTAGGTTCTGTCTTCACAGCCTCCATACAGAGCCCCTTTGTCTTCCCCTTGATCCCCTGCTGCAAACACATTGCCTCCGATGCCACCTCCGTGACCTTAGGCTGCCTGGCCACGGGCTACTTCCCGGAGCCGGTGATGGTGACCTGGGACGCAGGCTCCCTCAACAGGAGCACTATGACCTTACCAGCCACCACCTTCACGCCCTCCGGTCACTATGCCACCATCAGCTTGCTGACCGTCTCGGGTGCGTGGGCCAAGGAGACGTTCACCTGCCATGTGGTGCACACTCCATCGTCTGCAGACAAAGAGGTCAACAAAACCTTTGGCGGTAAGAGAGGGCCAAGCTCAGAGACCACAGTTCCCAGGAGTGCCAGGCTGAGGGCTGGCAGAGCGGGCAGGGGGTGAGGGGGTGGGTGGGAACACCCAGCATGCTTGGGGACCCGGGCCAGGAACACAGGGGCAAGAGGGAGGGCGCACAGAGCTCAGGGAGGACAACAACCCTCATGACCATCAGCTCTCCCCCAGTCTGCTCCAGGAACTTCACCCCACCCACCGTGAAGATCTTACAGTCATCCTGCGATGACGACGGGCACTTTCCCCCGACCATCCAGCTCCTGTGCCTCATCTCCGGGTACACCCCAGGGGCCATCAACGTCACCTGGCTGGAGAACGGGCAGGTCATGGAAGTGAACTCGCCCACCCCTCCTGCCACGCAGGAGGGTGAGCTGGCCTCCACACAAAGTGAGTTCACCCTCCCCCAGAAGCACTGGCTGTCGGACCGCACTTACACCTGCCAGGTCACCTATCAAGGTGGTACCTATGAGGACAGCACCAAGAAGTGTGCAGGTACGTTCCCACCTGCCCTGGTGGCCAACACAGAGGCCAGAGAAGGTGGCGGGCGGGCCTCACACAGTCCTCCGGTGTACCACAGATTCCAACCCGAGAGGGGTGAGTGCCTACCTAAGCCGGCCCAGCCCGTTTGACCTGTTCATCAGCAAGTCGCCCACAATCACCTGTCTGGTGGTGGACCTGGCACCCAGCAAGGAGACCGTGAACCTGACCTGGTCCCGGGCCAGTGGGAAGCCTGTGCCCCAGGTCCGCCCAAAGCGGGAGAGGCAGCGCAATGGCACGTTAACCGTTACGTCCATCCTGCCGGTGGTCACCCAAGACTGGATCGAGGGGGAGACCTACCAGTGCAGGGTGACCCACCCCCACCTCCCCAGGGCCCTCGTGCGGTCCATGACCAAGACCAGCGGTGAGCCACAGGCAGGCCAGGGTCGTGGGGGAGGAGGGAGGGAGCGAGCGAGCGGAGCTTGGGCTTGACCCCATGTCTGGCCACAGGCCCGCGTGCTGCCCCGGAAGTCTATGTGTTTGCAACGCCAGAGAAGCTAGAGAGCCGGGACAAGCGCACCCTCGCCTGCCTGATCCAGAACTTCATGCCTGAGGACATATCGGTGCAGTGGCTGCACAGCGACGTGCAGCTCCCGGACGCCCGGCACAGCGTGACGCAGCCCCGCAAGACCAAGGGCTCCGGCTTCTTCGTCTTCAGCCGCCTGGAGGTGACCAAGGCCGAATGGGAGCAGAAAGACGAGTTCATCTGCCGTGCAGTCCATGAGGCAGCGAGCCCCTCATGGATCGTCCAGCAAGCGGTGTCTGTAAATCTCGGTAAATGATGCACTCCTGCCTCCCTCCCTCTCAGGGCTCCATCCAGCTGTGCAGTGGGGAGGGCTGGCCAGACCTTCTGTCCACTGTTGCAACCACCCCAGGAAGCCACCCGCAATAAACCGTGCCTGCTCAGAGCCCTGGGTACACCCATTCTTGGCAGCGGGCAGGGCTGTGGGCAGGGGCATCTTGGCACAGAGGAATGGGCCCCCCAGGAGGGGCAGTGGGAAGAGGTGGGCAGGGCTGAGTCCCCCCAGGAGAGGTGGTGGGAGGAGGTGGGCAGGGCTGAGGCACCATTTCATCCATCTGTCTTCATGTCGGGGGTATTTGTCAAACAGTGTATCTGCAGGGACTCATCACAGATACCCTGGGCCCTCTCTGCCCCTACTCTGGATTCACCCCCTCCAAGGAGTCCAAAGACCCAGGAGAGGTCCTCAGGGAAGGGGGCAAGGGAGCCTAGCCCCTACAGCCCTCTCTCGGGGACTTGGCTTCTACCCCCCTGGATGGAGCCCCTGAACCCCTAGGTGTAGATGGGCACACAGGCCCTCCAGGTGGAAAAACAGCCCTAAGTAAAACCCCCACACAGGCACACAGGACCCCAGACAGCCCTCCCCCGAGTCTGTGCCACCGCGGTCCGCCTCTCTGCCCTGTCCCGCCTTGCAGAGCCCTGGCCCCAGCACAGGGGCCAGTGGGGCCGAGCCCACTCACACCCCACAGCCTCCGCCAGCCTGCCCTGAGGGCACACCAGGCCCAGGTCAGCAGCCAGGCCCCCTCTCCTACTGCCCCTCCCCTGCCCCTCGGTCCATCCTGAGTCGGCCCCCAGGGAACTGCCAGCCTCACACACCCAGTCACGCCCACTCAAGGCACAGTTGTGCATGTACCAGACCCCATAGCAACTCCACAGCGCCCTGTACCACCACCAGGATGCCAAAGGCACCCACACATGGTCATGTGTGGCCCACACTCCGCCTCCCAGGCTGCCTCCAGCCAGGCTACTCCCAAGCACTTCCTCTGAGTCATGCCTGGGCCGCTGGATCCCAGACAGAAATGGAGAGGCCCTCACATGGTGTCCTCCAGTCCAGCCCTCCCTGTCACCCTGTCAAACACGGGATGGATGCACCCCAGGACCTGGGCTCCATCCCACTCCCCCTCTCACCCACACCAGAATCCCAGAGCAGGCTACATGCCCCTCCCAGGCCTCAAACCCACGGGTGCATCTGACACCCCCGATCCCAACGCTCCCCGTGGTCATGCGTACCAAGTGCACAGCACCCACCAAATCCACACGGAAACACAGGTGCCGGGCACCCCGTGAGCACAAAGCCCCTCCCTGTCTGAAGACAGTCCCTGCACACCATCACGCCATGCACTCAGCTTCACTCTCACATCCCGGCCCACCTGCACCCAGCTCCGGGCCGGGAGCAGCAGAAAGAGGTGTGAGGGGCCAAGGCTGGACCTGTGCCTGCTGGTGGCCCGTGACCAGCAGGCAACTCAGGGCATTGGGGAAGGGAGTGGAGGGGACCCAGGGCAAGAGGAGCCAGAGGGACCAGGCTGGTAGGCAGGGCCGGGCCAGGAGGCCGCTCTGGACTCCCACAGGCCTGGGCTCATAGTCCACACCAGGACAACCCCTCAGAGCACCCACGCAGTGAGTCCCAGGTCTTGGGAGCCAGGCTGCAGAGCTCACGCATCCTTCCGAGAGCCCTGAGTGAGGGGCCACTCCTGTGCCAAGGGGCTGGGTCCTTCTCTGGGGAGGGGGAGGGGGTGGGGTCTAGAGAGAGGTGGAGTAGAGGTAACCAGAGAAGCCGTAAGGAACAGGGGGAAAATGGGGCCAGAGTGGGGGCCCACAGACGAGAGGTCAGGAGTGGTCAGCCTGGTCCTGGGCTGTTGACTGACTCGGGACCTGGGTCCCCACCCTCAGGGTTGGCTGGCGGCTCTGCGCAGTCCCAGAGGGCCCCAGATAGGGTACTCTGCCACTCCGAACAGCAGCAAGGGCTACCGAGAGCAGCAAGGGGCTCTGTCCCCGACCACCGCTGCCACTGCGGAGCCGGGAGGGCTGACTGGCCAGGTCTCCCAGAGCTGGACGTATGCGTGGAGGAGGCCGAGAGTGAGGCGCTGTGGACGTGGACTGGCCTCTGCATCTTCGCCACACTCTTCCTGCTCAGTGTGAGCTACAGCGCTGCCATCACACTCCTTATGGTGGGCACCCACCTCCAGGGGCCAGGCCAGGGCAGGGGGCTGGGCAGAGCCAGCAGAGCGCCCTGACCCACGCCCTCCCCTCAGGTGCAGCGGTTCCTCTCAGCCACGCGGCAGGGGAGGCCCCAGACCTCCCTCGACTACACCAACATCCTCCAGCCCCACGCCTAGGCCGCGGGCCACTCGCGTTCCACCAGGCCTAGCTGCTCTCTGCCGGCACCTGAGCCTCCCTCGGGCTGTGCCCTGCCCTGGGTGGGAAAAGGGAAGCAGACAAGAAAAGGGGGTGCAAGGTCACTACTGTGGGCTGATGGCCAGTGAATCTGAGCCCAGAGGGGCCCGCTCAGCCGCAAGGTTAAAGGTGCCGACAGAACCACCAGTCACAGCCCCCACCCCAAATCAGTGTCCGTCCCTTCAACGGAGTCATCAAGGAGGGGGTGGTTGCTAGCCGTTCTGAGCTCATCCCAAGCCCCTGGGTCTCAGGGTCACTCCCATTCTGACTGTACAATCACCAAAAGCCAAGAAGGGCCCAGCACCCAGCCCAGGACACAGCTGAGTCTGCGTCCAGCCCAACGCCAGCCCACAGCCTCACTCTGAGTCCGCGTCCAGCCCAACGCTAGCCCACAGCCTCACTCCCCAGCCTTGCTCTGACCCTTCTACCCCTGAGGTCCAAGTGCCTGGCATCCCCGTCCCCCAGGCCTCACCCACCCTCTTTCCCTTCACCCACCCCTCCATCCATCACAGCCCCCATCCCTGCAGCGTGAAGGAACAGGGAAGCCCTCTGAGGCCAGGCCACAGGACTGCTGGGGACTTCGGCCCCTGGAGTGGGTAGAGGGGCTCCCACAGCCAGAGGAGGGGTTTCCTGCAGGGACAGCAGCTGCTGACCTCATCCCTGTGACCTCGTCCAGCCTCTGGCTTCAGCAGTCCTCTTTCTTTCCCTCAGGGTTTCCTAGTAAAGTTCCTTTTCACAAATCCCATGTCTCCAGAGTGCTCTTTGGGAGGTGTCTGTGGCCCTGGAGTGGCTGGTGGGAGGCAGGACCCCTGAGGATGTGGAGGAGGAGCCAGAGGGGAAGGAAGGGCAGGGGCCATTCTGGGGTCCTGAGAGCCAAAGTGTCCAAGCAGTGGTTCCCATCAGTCACCCCTCAGCACCCCAGAGACTCCCCAGCTCAGCCCTGTCATACCTGGTCTGCTGGTCTCCAGCCCAGAATCATGCCTCTTCTCAGGTAAAGTCAAAGCAACAATCAACATCAACCCCTTTGTGGGCAAAACCAGAAGAGGGACCCATGCTGTGGTCAGCGCAGGAGGCCCCAAGAATGTGGCTGCACAGTCACCAAGGTGGAGGCTGGTGGCGGCCCCCAGGACCACTGGCCACACGCCCTGATCCACCACCCACTGAGCACAGACAAAGTTGACTCCCCATCCCACAGCCGCCCACCAGCCTGGACCTCCTGAAGAGCTGAGAGATGACACAGGAGCAGGCTAGGGCCCCAGAACCATCGGGGTCACAGGTGGGCATGACCCATACCTGGCCTCAGGGCAAACATGCAGCTTCCCTGGCTGGAGAGGCCTGCTTACACTGTGTCCACAATATCCTAAAAATGGGAGAGAATACATAATAGGCATGACAAAGGGCAGGGTTCCCTCATATACAAAGAGCACTCAGGGATCAATAAGAAGAAAGGTGAGCAATAGGTTCTTCATGGAAAGGAAAAACCCAGTGGCCAATAATACAAAGAACCCATTTTAACAATTAGAAAAGTGAAAGTAAGGAGGAGGGGATGAAGGGGGTGGAGGTGCTTCTTGGCCCTGACTGAGGGCACGTGAATTGCTAAGACCACTTTTTAGGGCAAGTTGGCAAAATGCCCCAATGCAGGAGAGTCCTCTCACAGTGATGGCCCCACAGGGAGAGCCTCGCTCTGTGCCAGGAGACCCACATCACATGGAGTCTGGCACAAAACGGAATGAAGCAAGCCTGCCACAGTCTGACAGCAGCACCTGGGTTCCCCGCCCTGTCCTCCACTGGGACCTCAGAGCAACTGGGCACAGGGGAGAAGGTGAGGAGCGACGGCTCCCTATGGGGTAGAAAACTCCAAAGTGGGCAGTGCTGAGGCCAACTGGATCCAAACACCACCAGAGGAGGGGGCGTCGCAGGACATGGCCAAGGCCACAGCCGCTGCTGCCCAGCTCTCCTCACACACTCCCTCATTCACAGACACACACAGGCACACACTCGCACATGCAAAAACATACAGGTTCACACACACAGACTCAACCTCTCCTACACATTTGCACTCACACACCAATCATGCACTCACAAACACACGCTGACACGCTCGGGCGTGCTCACACCCACACACACACAGTCTCAGGAAGCCAGGCCCTCAGTCCACCCCATCACCAGCCCAGGGTCTCGCAAACCCGTGTCTCCTACAGCAGACCGGCCCTCCGCAGCCAAGGTCCCCTGGACCGGGAGCCCCTCCGGCGGGCAGGGCTCAGTGACTCCTTTCTCTGCCCTCACTCTAGACCACGAGACCCCCATGGCCCCACAGCAAGGGCAACAAGGAGCCAGTTCACTGCCCCACTGTGTGGCAGATATCCTCACACACAGAAAACCCCCTCAAAGGCCTGAGAGGAAGGCGAGATGAGCACCCACGTAGAGGAGACAGACGGGGCCCGAGGGGAGGGGCAGAGGCCTGGATTCACACCCAGGCTCAGAACAGCGCCCCTGCCTTCCACATGGCCTGGCCTCCTGGAAGCAAGAGGATGCCGTCTCCGGGTTCCTCCATCCCCCTCTTTATTCCCCGATTAACCCACCGGTGGATACAACCATGGCCCCCAAAAGACAGAGCCACATCCTAGTCCCTGGGGCCATTGAGTGCGGCATTATTTGTCAAAAGGGCCTTTGTAGATCTCATCAAGGTAAGGATTTCGAGGTGAGGGCACCCCGG